GAATTTCTCATTCTCAATTTTCGGCCAGAAAAATGACGAAATAATTCTCGCATTGATCGGAAATGGCTGAAAATTGCGAGTGTATAAGAAATTGCATTATTCAAAACGCAAAACAATAATCGAATCAATCAGTTCAGCTCAAGTACAAATGCACTCACCAGATTATTCCGCACCCAACGATCAACCACATCCGAATCGCGCATATCCTTCAGCATCACTTCGCACTGTTGCAGTTCACCTTCGCTGAATCGTTGCTTCAACAATTCCAGGTATCGAAGTTCGAACAACGGCTAAAAATGTTTAGTTGATTCGAATATCGCACGTCACACGCACCTATGCGCTTATAGAAATCTCTCAAATTATCATTAAATCTTCCTCATATTACTTACATCTCTATTCCACGATTTCGTCAGTCTTTCGGCCAATAGCTGTCGATACTCTTTTACGAACAGCTCCTTACTGCCATATACAGATACCAACATATTGAACACATCCGCATTCTGTCTGAAACGTCGACTTTGACCCGGAATCGCGTCCGGTGGATCGGGTTGCCACTCACGCCAGTTCTGCTCTGAATCCAATTGCATTCATTCCACAACAATGATACAATTTTATCTTCTATGAGACAATTCGAACAACAACACAATTCTATCTCCTGTTCAAATTTTAAGTTCAACGTCGAAATTATTTGCGAGTCAAAAACAAATAAAATGAAAGATACGTCGAAGGAACATTCTGATCTCGATACCAAAATTATCTATATGAATAACATCAATGATGACGGCAGTAATAATAATAACAATAACAGCATTAACAATAACAACAAATAATAAATAATCACAATAACAAATACCATTCTCATCGTCCAAGCCAATCAAATCATCGTTCACACCAGCCATATCCTCCTCATCCACTATCGCTGCTCGTTTCACGGCCAATTGTTCACTTAATTCTTCACGCTTCTCGCCCGTTATGTAAGTGATTATCGAACGGACTGTGTCCGGGCGTTGTCTTCAATATTCTTCATTATACATTAACAAAACAACAACACTTCAAAAACTATGTTTATTTTGTTAGTAACAATAAATGAATAAGCAAATGAAGAAATTGATAAAATTACTTTAATGAAAATATACAAACACATAAATAAACTAATATAAACTTTAAATAAACTGATATGTAAATGAAAAATGCTGAAACCTACTTGATATAAGTGCGTATAACAGTACAGATATGTTGCATGATCACACAAGTGGGGTCTAATCTCCTTAAGCAATCCACTGCACTGGCATATCCTTGCAGAATATCTCTTGTGCCAATCCCTTCAATTTCATTTCATTCTAATTTATTCTTTCCAATATTTCACAATAACATCAGAATATGTGAAAAGTTTACAAAATCCTCATTATCATTACTAACTGCTAGTTTCATTACTGATATTAATAATATCATTAATTTTTTCAACAGCTGTAAATTGTTCGTTTTTATGACATCCTATCATTATTCTTAACAATAGCACCATCACTATTATTTGAAACATAAAGCAGTCAAGACTTCTCACCGATGTGAAGTAAACGCTTTTCGACTTCGCTGGCGAGTTTCGCACTCAGCTGACTTCTGCCATATCCGTTGTTCGTTTGCATACAATGTCGTAAATCATCGATTAATTCCCCTGATTCGGGATACGAAACGATAACCAAATTGAATATCTACAATTGATTCTTCGAATGCTTCAATTCACGAATACGTTCACCCGTTTCACATCCACTC